CTTTTCCCCACAACAGGATTACCGCTTTTTGTTCAGCGCACTGTAGCAAGGACAATAGTCTTACAGGAGATCATTGGAAAGGGTCGTTTTGGTGAAGTATGGCGTGGCAAGTGGAGAGGAGGAGATGTGGCCGTCAAAATATTCTCATCAAGGGAAGAGAGGTCATGGTTCAGGGAGGCAGAAATCTACCAGACGGTGATGCTGCGACATGAGAATATTTTGGGATTTATTGCTGCAGATAACAAAGGTATGGTGGTACTAGAGTATAACAAAACTGAAAAGCATGGAAATTAGGCATTCACGAATGATATCCAAAAATTACAAAAAAACTTCTAGGTTGCATCTACATTCATGCAACATGCTCACTGAAGTGCATTTCATATCCAATCTTTGACAAAGATGTAATACTTTCATGCCCTGCTAAATGATGCATCCACACACATACACAAATATCCTCTCTCCTGGTCTCCCTGCACTGCTATTGGCATTACATTTTTTTCATTGATCCCCTCTTGCAAGGCAAAACTGGAAGTATTTATCTCACAGCCTTATGCCCTGAGTGTTCCTCTTTTCCCTTCACAGAAATATTAACATTAATATTTTTAAAAACAAATTAATCTCTGGGTTGAACTCAATGGACATGTGTCTTTTTTTCAACCTGACTATGTAACACATTATAATCCACAAATTCTTCTGTAACTATGTACTGTATAGAGACTCCTTTAATTCATAGATCCAAACAATCCTGCATATATGGACTCTTATATGATGTTATACGGAATGTATCACAAAAACAGTGCTTCATTTCATTAGACCAGCCATCGCAAACAGCTTAAATGTCAGTCTTTCTCACTTTCTTGTACTCCAATAGTGTTTAAAATTAAATCGTACAATGCACATCATAATTGTACTTATCTGCATCCAGGCCAACGTTGCACAATGTCCATCCTTCTTCCACATATCTCGCAGGGCAATATTAATCCATCCAATTTAAATGACAGTCCCTTTAAATTCGAGTGCACCAAAGCTGTTGCTTCTTTCTGCCATGTGACTCATGGGGGTTTGAGTTCTACTGCACCATGTTTTGCTTGAAGAAATTTGATCTGGATGCTTAACACATCCTCTACTTGTTAAATCCCAATTATTCCCTGGCTGAGACAGCTAACGCCTAGCCCATTTGGCTACAACTAGCATACCACTTGCCCCTTCCCCTAGGTACAAAAAGCCTGTAAAATTATGTCACTATAGATAGGGAAGAACACAATGATTGCATCAACGTTGGCTTAAAGAAGTTTGTCTTGATTAACTTTTTTACCTTCGAAGGTGTTTATTTTCTTAAACACCAAATGCAGGGTGTAGCTATGGGGGCTGTTTGTGTACCTACATATGCATGTAGACATTTAGGTTGGTGGGAGAAAACAGTGGGGTTCCACTCGGTGAGGTTTGGCGCATTTGCTGCCCTTTGGTTGTTATATGTGCATTGTGTGTTGGCATGGGAGGGTCCCTGCTGGCTATTGTATTCAGACAGCTCCAGGTGTCGCAGAACAGATGCAGTCACTGTTTGACAGTTTCCCCCTGACTCAGTTGATTTTTAAATCGACTTTTGTCGAGCCGAGTGGTATCAATAGGTACACTCACGGCTTAAATATTGGCCGATTCAACCGAGTATTTATGCATATTCTTTTGCAGTGCACAAAGAAGAGTATATGAAGCCAGTGACCCTAATCTCAAGGTTGTCTTTTTATGTTTATGGGCATCTTCAGTTACAAAGCTCTTTGCCACACTGGCAATATACATTTTACATGCTGTGATCAACAAATCATGATTTTAAAGGAGAACTATGGGGTTAGGGCTTTTCCCCATAGTTCTCCTAAGGGTAACAGGAGGTCACAAACTAGCATCCTCCCGTCACCCTAAGCTCAGTATACCGCTAGACGCCGCAGCTGAAACGGATCCCGACAATTATGTCTGGATCCGCCCAGCTGCGTGAGTGACAGCTGGCTCTGCCTATCTAGCGGCAGAGCCAGCTGTACCCTCCCCCGTCCGTTCCGCCAGTCAGCGCTGGAGGATCGGAGAGGGGAGGGGGGAATGCAGCCCCTTCCCTGTCACGTCAGTGAGCGAACGCCGGTATGTGTTCGCTCACTTCCCGATCTACTGAGCCGACCTGTGACAGTTTCATTGTCACAGGTCGGCAAGAACTAGCACCTCATAGTTCTCCTTTAAGAAAGCTCACAGGCTTGATGCTTTAGTGTATGGCATGGAGGGTTGAATTTGTCATCCTAACATGAGTATCTTTGGACAGAATTTTCTTTGTAAAGTGATAAGTAGAACATTCTTCATCTTAAGCTACGTTGTTTTCCAACCAGCACTTTACATCCATCCCCTGTGAAATTGTAGCCGTCTTAGCACATTAATAAGCAGATTAGCGTTGCAATTCCACTGGTAAAATGGTTTATTGGATTAACGTTTTGCAGACAATGGAACATGGACCCAGCTGTGGCTTGTCTCGGATTACCATGAACACGGCTCACTGTTCGACTATCTGAACCGGTACACAGTTACCATTGAGGGGATGATAAAGCTTGCCCTCTCAGCAGCCAGTGGCCTTGCTCATCTACATATGGAAATTGTTGGAACTCAGGGTAAGACCTTTTCTTCGTGTATTGCTCCATTTTCATGTTCCAGAAAGGTCTCCTTAATTTAGGGCAGAGGTAATTTGTTTATTTCTTTTTTAATAGGAAAGCCTGGAATTGCTCACCGGGACCTCAAGTCGAAAAATATCCTGGTAAAGAAGAATGGAGTGTGTGCGATTGCTGACTTGGGTCTTGCTGTGCGCCATGACTCTCTGACTGATACTATAGACATTGCTCCCAATCAGAGAGTGGGGACCAAACGGTGAGCCTGATCTCTGTCTTCTGCTCACAACACTCTTTGTGATGTAACTTTGTGTTTTAGAACTTGTCAAGGAAATTGTTGCAAGATTGTAAATGTCGCTGAAATTCAGAGCATATCAGCGACATTTACAAATACACATCATGGGAATTGAGAGTAACTCTAAACGGAGTTATTTGTCAACAGATTAGGAGTCTTTTTAACTGACTTTTTAACCTCTGCATATGTATGTCTGCAAATCTGCACCCTTTTTCATGCATTTTCATCATTATTGTAGTGTTTCTCCCACATTGAACATGTTTTAAAGCTAACATTTGCTCAGACACCTTTAAACATCTGACCACTTGCCACCTCGATCCAAATGTGCAAGACATGGAGCTGCATGTCTCTGCTGACCCAGGAGCTGAAGCTGTTAACTTCAGAGCTTAAGCCCACCATATGTCACGATCTGACTGTATAATCTTTATGCAATCTTCCCTCAACTTAACAAAACAATGTAATGTGAAAACCTACCCAAGCTATCCATTCATATTATATCCATTCAGGCAGGCCTTTGTGCTCCATGGTTTTTGAAAGATCTAAAGGACGTTTTACAGGCAAATTGTAATGTTTGATGAGCTTTTTAATTATACCCATAATAATTTAAGGTTGCTCTGTAGCACAGCATAACCATAATGCTACATGGGAAATCCTGATGAATTATTTTACATATCATTGGGATATTCTCTAGTGGTCTGGTGGTCATTTTGTCTTATTCAGCTTTGCCAGGCCTCTCCTTCAATAGTAGGTCACCATTATAATCAGTTGACTACCATGTATCCTAGAGAACCCCCCATCCTTCCCAAGGTCCTTAATGCACTGCTGCTATTCTGTGAGCATCAGAATCAAAGACAATTGTGTTTTTAGCACTTATCCGTTTCTCTTACTTTCCTGCAGCTGCTGCTCCTGGCCACCATTAGAGGAAGCTGTATTGGGATAAATGAACATTCCATCTCTTTTCTTCAGCTCCCTCTAGTGATGGTTGGAGATAAATGTAATCTTACATCTGCAAGGTTGGAGACCCTGTGAAACCTCCACATATTACTAAATGCAGCTGACGACTTTGAGCAGACTGCAAAGTCAAGTAAGAATAAGTACGCTCAAGGTGCTCTTCCACTCTTACAAAAAGACTACGACCAGAGTCTAGAAAGATTTTTGAATCTTTTTTCCTATACTTCCCTATTACTATTCTTTTTAGTTCCATCTGTATTGCCCGCTCCTCTCTGGGTCCTTTTTTTTTTTTGGGCATCTGAGATGCGTGCTGACGTCACATGGGGTAACGCTTTCATTGTATTTAACCTCTCTTCGCTTTCTAAATCATGTGTTGACCCGGTGGTGGTGACGCTTTAATTGAGTTGACTGTGTATCCATGTACAGTATCTCACAGAAGTGAGTACACCCCTCACATTTTTGTAAATATCTTATTATATAATTTCATGTGACGACACAGAAGAAATGACACTTTGCTACAAGGTAAAGTAGTGAGTGTACAGCTTGTATATCAGTGTACATTTGCTGTCCCCTCAAAATAACTCAACACACAGCCATTAATGTATAAACCGCTGGCAACAAAAGTGAGTACACCCCTAAGTGAAAATGTCCAAATTGGGCCCAATTAGCCATTTTCCCTCCCGGTGTCATGTGACTCGTTAGTGTTACAAGGTCTCAGGTGTGAATGGGGAGCAAGTGTGTTAAATTTGGTGTTGTTGCTCTCACTCTCTCATACTGGTCACTGGTAGTTCAGCATGGCACCTCATGGCAAAGAACTCTGAGGATCTGAAAAAAAGAATTGTTGCTCTACATAAAGTTGGCCTAGGCTATAAGAAGATTGGATATAAAATGGATATATTCATCTTTAGGACACAAGACTGTCTAGCATTGCATGTTTTCTACTTTTCTTTGCATAGTTACAGATTAATATGCCTTTCTTTATTTTTCATAATTCAGATATATGGCTCCTGAGGTGCTGGATGAAACTATAAATATGAAACACTTCGACTCATTCAAGTGTGCGGACATCTATGCTCTGGGATTAGTTTACTGGGAAATTGCCCGTAGATGCAGTGCTGGGGGTATGTCTGTTTTATTCATTTATGGATATCTATGGTTTAAATGTTTCCCAATGTAAAATAAGCTAATAAAGTGACATCTACAGTTTACTTGGATATACATTTTGATTGGATTTTTTGGTCAAAATAAAAATAGGGAAGGATAATACATTTTTAACCCTTTCGCTGCCAATGACGTATGCTGTGCATCGCTAGCAGCGTACCCCTGTAAACAGACTACTGGCGGTTATAGCTCTCTTTTTACCTGTGTGAAGCAGACTGTCTGTTTTACACTGGAAGTGATTCTGGTGGCTGAAAAGCCGCCAGATGACTTCCAGGGGCCGCTAAACACTGAACCCCCCTATGTGATAGACTATAACTTCAATAACAATTAGCAGTTATTCAGAAAAAAAGTCAGGTCACACACTGCAAGCTTCACTGAAAAATTGATTATAGCACACAGGTATACATCTTCCTGACGTGGATCTGCTTCACTCTGACATGTTTCACCCAATAATGGGCTTAGTTATAGGACTATGACTACATACGACTTCAATATAGAAATACATATTTATTTTTTGGGGAGGGGGGGGGGGTTTATATAATGAATACCCTGGTACATTGATGACCACTAGATGGAGAATTTGCAATTGAAATTTAATTTAAAAAAAATATAAAACAACAAGCAATGCAACACATCAAAAATTACTTGCTGGACAATGTTGCAATAATACCTTGAATATGTAGTTACTGAAAATTTCCATTACATGTACACAAAGTGTTCAGGTTGTCAAGTACCAGCTGATGACATTAGTGAGGCTTTAACCCCTTCATGACTGAGGCCTTTTTTTCATTTTTTGTACCCATGTTATATTCCAGATTTTAGGCCTGAAAATTACTTAAAACCCCCCAACATTATATAATTGCGGGGGGGGCCCTTCTTCGGGACGCAGAAGCGATCTGGCGACAGGTAAGTTGCCAGGATCGCTTCTGTTGTAAAGCCGACAGTCGGCTCTACAAGTTTAAACAGAGTCCCGGCGGCAAAAGTCACCGGGAGTCTGTTTAAGCAGCCCCGATGCTGGCGACGTACACTGTACGTCGTCAGTCACGAAGGGGTTAAGCACCATACATCTCACTCCTGTATAGACCAAGCACTTCATTAACTACAGTTCTGCATAATAAAAGATATTTCTATGCAGTGGCATGTGTAGGTTGTTCCTTTTCAGTGAAATATACTTGACATGCACATACAGTTATATCCATTAACCTGCGTAGTTTCTTTCCACTACGCTCCGTATTTTAATTTAAAGGTTTGCAAACAGATGCATTTATTCTTTTAAAAAATGTCTTATATTTATTTGTGTTTACAGGTTTTCATGAAGAATATCAGCTTCCATACTATGATTTGGTACCGTCAGATCCTTCTATTGAAGAAATGCGTAAAGTAGTATGTGACCAGAAATTACGACCTAACATACCCAATTGGTGGCAAAGTTATGAGGTAAGTGCTTGTGGTTGCTAAATGCACTGCAGGCTGGTCACTCCACATGGTAGTATGTTGTACTGTACATTCAAATTATGTTTTCAAAATTCAATATAAAAGGCCACACTGCAAGGCTACATTTTCCTTGTGATCACACCACATTTCAGCTTATTAGAACTCAAAGGACAGCCTGTTATCTGAGTACTTTGGAGCTGTTCCCCTCCATACACAGCTATCCCTGTCATTGTATGAGTGCACACACCACAGACACACCCGCTAGCAATACCTGACTGGTATTACAGGGGCAGCTAAAGCTGCTTGAACCTTAAAGCTTACTGAACTGGAGAGTATCATTTTACTCTTGAGTTCTGTGTTGACTGAAAAATTCCTTTTAGATGGAAATTTGGATAAATTCTTTATACGAGTCTGCGGCTTTTCATGTATCCAGTTCATAATAGTTGTAGTTGACCATATTTAACTGGACTTGTTTTGTATTGTTGAAGACATTTCACCGCTCATCCAATTGGCTTCTTCAGTTCAACTGAGTGTCGGCAACATTTTCCCGCATTTGTAGCCACATGGGTAACTTTGTCACCTTAACCCAGATACCATGTCTCAAAATGTGTTGAAGGAGATGTAATAGTACAAGACATCACTGGGGTGTGAAAGTTGTGAGGATGCCATGTTCTAGTTAACGTAATAATACATTTACAATGGTGCCATGAAGTCAGAAATAGGTAAAAAGTCTTAATCACAAAAGTCTAGTTTAAATCTAATTACAACTTGCTTTTCACATCAGGAGAGAGGCAGAATATCCAAACCATATGATCTCTAGGTGGCAGTATTAAACCAAGTGTACCCTCTGAAAATTCTGTATGAAGCGTAGTAGCAGAAAGTTGAAAGGAGTTAATAGCATGCAAGTTATCTGTTAAATGCAAGGAGATTGAACATTTCAATGACCAAGGTAACAAGCTCCATTTTTTGTATTCTATAAATGGATAGACATACAGTTTGTCAGAATCAGTGACCCTCTTGTAAAAACCCAAACTCCAATCCAGCCTGCAGGAGTTCAGTACTGTCATACTTGAATACTTAAAGGCCCATGCACGGAAACAGGGAACAATTGCCCTTTTTTCGGTGAGCTGGGCACCTGTTCATATAACTGCATTATTTAGTCATTGGCTGCATCATGTTTATTAACAACACTGGCTCAACCAGACCAGTTCATTAATTAAACCTGTCTCACTAATACCGCCTTTATATTCAGGTAAATTAACAGACGTGGGAGAGTCCTCTCACGTCACATTTTGATGGATTACTCCTATTTATGTACAATAAACTATTTGAAAGACCTACATCAGGAGTTCTTAATGGGAATCTGTTAGATCAGGAGCTGCTACTAGTTATTATGGTTTAAGGCCGTATTCACATCGAATTTAAACACGTGTAACTGCCACACACAGCATGTTAATATGCAATATATGTACTTTGGCGTGCATTGCCATTTATTCTGGATGGCACCCCAGCACTCATCCTTTATGTATTAAAAACTAACAGAAGACACATGCAACAAAGTTTCAGTTACACTCAGCAAACACTTTTAAAAACTCACCCCTTCATTTCTGATCAACACCCTACTTCACCATTCACGCGTCCCCATCACACAAATCAGCCTTCAGTAACTGCACCTACAACCCCCATACCCTCCCATCCCGCTCTCATCCCTTCCGGTAACCAGAACTTGTAGATATGGACTGCCTTAAAGGAGAACTATGAGGTGAGTGCTTTTCACTCACCTCATAGTTCTAGCCGACCTGTGACAATGAGACTATCACAGGTCGGCTCAGTAGATCGAGAAGTGAGCTAACACATACCGGCGTAGGTCGCGGCATACTGAGCTTAGGGTGACGGAAGGACGCTAGTTTGTGTCCTCCCGTTACCCTAAGGAGAACTATGGGGAAAAGCCCTAACCCCATAGTTCTCCTTTAACACAACACGCAGCAAAGCACGTAAAAACATAGGTGTGCTGAACCTGGATTCATTACCCAGTGAGGCAGTGACCCAGAAAAAGTGAAGTCTTTACTTATCACTGCCTGCATGACCGCACTAAAGCCTGCACCTTTAAGCCTTGTGCCCTGGCAGTCATTCATTAATGCCTAAATCCACACATCACATTTATAATGTCAATATGAATCGGTTAATATGAGAAGAGTGTTAAAACATTATTTAGGTAGACACATATACAGCTTTCAATTGAAAAACATATTTTTATTTTATAAAAACCTCTGCACTGTCTTTATTATAGGCTGACAAATTGACGACAACAAAACAATTTTAACACTCTAATTGTATTTGACAATTACAGCATTAAACAAAAGCACACCACCAGCTTTAGGCACATACTGCACTGGTTTCCGATTGTTGGTGGTGACCAGAACTGTCAGTGACCGCAGAGTAGACAACTAGCCATGCACAGGATTGGCTGCTCTGGGCAGACTAATGAAATTGTATATTTACCTTGTGAGTCTGTACTGTAAATTATTCAGTTATTTGTTTCCTGACGGTTCTGATTGTAGCTGCCTTTTTCAATAAACCGTTTTCTTAAAAGTATGTTGGGGCATTACTTTTATTTACCCCTAGAATGTCTCGGCATCAATGTTTTTCTTTACCTTGTTACTGTAGTGAGAAGAGGCTTTTATTCCTTTTATATTATCACCAGGCTTGTACAATTCTTGCACAGGCAGATGTTGGGAGGTCAGTTCCTACTGACATAGACACACCCCAGAAATACATCTCCCTAGAGATCTTTGCCTCCAGTGTGTGAGCAGGCTCTTGGGATCCAACCAGCACATATTGGGTTACTGCACTTACAATGAGGCCCTAGATGTGTCCGTTCGGCAGTCTTTGTTGACTGAAGTTTGTTTTTCTTTACTGAACAGGCTCTTCGGGTGATGGGGAAGATGATGAGGGAGTGCTGGTACGCCAATGGAGCAGCTCGCTTGACAGCTCTGCGCATTAAGAAAACACTGTCACAACTCAGTATACAAGAAGATGTGAAGATCTGAAGCCGCTCACAAAGCCCCTGAGAAAATGTGGAAAAAATGTCATACAAGCTGCCATGATGTAGTACATAAGTATGAGGCCTACCTCAACGTTTCTTCCCAGACAACTGCCAGTTGAACAATGGGGCCTTTGGGCCAAAATGGAAGAGAACAGCACACTTCAATTAATTATAGGTTTGGGTCTGAAACAGAAACTTTTTTGTTTTTTTTTCTATTTTTTTTCCCTTTTTCTTAATAGCATGAAGATAAAGAATCCGATTCAGGTGACTGCCGCATTGCCTGATTTTTCTTTTCCTCCAAATGAAATAACCATGGTGGCACCCCGTTTCCATCTGTGAAGGGTAAAATCCACTTCAGCTAACTTGGTCCAAATGGTTCAGGGTATTGCCTAGCATACCAGACCATACTCTCCTTACTGGCTCAGGTCCCAGTAAGCAAGCTGAGGTTTCTCTTGGATTTACCCCATTCACAAACGAGGAGACTCCCCTTGCAATGGATTGTGTTCTTACAATTCAGGCTTTGTACAGAATGACATTGGAGCTTGGAAGCAAACACTACACTATCCATGTAGACCCGTGTCCGTGCATGTGCAAGGGTGTGTGTAGCTATTTTTGGACCTGTGTTTTTGTAGGTGTACATGTGAGCTTGTCTGCATGCGCAAATATAAGAAAAAAAACAACAAAAAACTCCACTTTTTGAAGTGTCTGTACGTAGATCACCTGACACTTCATGTAAAGTTTGCATACAGGGCCACTTGTCACATTATTATTATTATTTAGTTTTCTTTTCTTTTGCGAAGCAACAAAATCCAAAATCTGAGCTTGTCTGAACATAACACTAAACATCCACTTACCAGAGGAGCGGAAAACAATGATGGTGAAAACCTATTGGCAATAGAAATGTTTTAATAAAAGACCCTCAGCTTGTGCTGTCCCAGCGGATGTGAAGCGAGGAGGACAACCTGCAAAAATCCATCATCATTTGTAAATGAATCTCAGGTGTCAAGCATTTGCCAACAGCAGGGATTTTAAATGTTTGTGCTCATCAAATAGACCGGCATGGAGCGAGGTGTAGATCCTTTTCCGGCCTGCCTTTGGGAAAGAACTGAAAAGAAGCAAAGCTTTAGTCTTTTGGTCTTTTTGATCAGCGACTTAGAAAAATAAGAGCCTGTTTCGGTCGGCCAGGCCAGGCTCCAGCTGTGTCAGGTTGGAAGCAGGGTTGTTATGTGAGCGACACATCACATTTTAAAACAGGATCTTAGTTGAATGGGAGGATTCTTTTGGTTCAGCATCTACAGTACAATAACTCTGAAGCCATACGTTTTAACTGGAGTGTCTTTTGTCTTTTTTGTTTCTTTTATTAATTTAGGATGTATGGGGGAGGGTGGATGGGCAGAGTAGGGATTTTAACATTTTTTATTAAGTATTTTAATTCTTTGTAAAAAAGAGAAACAACAAAAAAAATCAGAATATCTCTCTATCTATAAATATAAATATATATACACATGCATATGTCTAAATATTACCTCTCAGTCTATTGTTTGTATAGAGATCACACTAAAAAACCAAAAGCGCCAAGCTATATTTACACTGGAACTATTTGTACTTATACATGGAATTTTCTTCTAGACGCTGGATTGGTCCTCACAGTTACATGTCACATTTTTTATAATGCCATGTCGTCATTGTCTGTTTCTTCAGGTGTACACCATTTCTCTGTGTGTATCCTTATATATTTTGTATTACTTTTTTCTTTTCTCTCTTTCTTTTGGCGTTCTGTGCAGGATTGTTATGAAACTCCCAGTTATTTTGTCCAAGGTGCTTCTAAGCCTCACACAGCTCAGTAACATAGTAACGTGAAGCTGGCTTGTGCATTAATGAGGCGTGTTTGTTACCTTTTTAGTGTTTTGGAGGTGCAGTGCGTGTGCTCTGTGTCCGTCGAGCTGTTGTATTTGTCTTAAGCATTTGTCATTAATCTTTGTTGTGCAATTTCTAGAGAATGCATTTACACATATATGCAACATATCATCTTCCTCAATTCAATTAGGTGATATTCAGCGAGGCTTTGAAGCAAGGGTAAGATTGGCCAGCATCACACCCTGAGGTTTGCTGTGGAATCCGTTGTGATAAAAGGCACTGATGCCCATTTTTTTTTTGTTTTCTTGCATAGAAGCAGCAAGCATTATCTGTCTGCAAATGCATTGCAGTGTATTAGCTCTATGCAGTATGCTCAGATGTGCTGTAACTATATAAACCAGCCATTTTTTAATATTTCGAGAGGAATGTAAGCTAACCGAATTGGTTGCTGTAGGTTACAGTATGTTTATTACATAAAACATTGGCTTGGCTTTAATATTTGTGCTCCTTAGGCTGATAAGTGTGAAAAAGGCAGGAGACTATTGTAAAGCTTATATAATGCACCACTGGAGGCATTTGTGAAGGAATGAGCATAGGAAAATGCTGGTGATGCCCATACCAGCCACTTGGATATCAATTGCCACCTTTGTGGTATTCAAATGTTGAAGCCGATCTCTGGTTGCCATGGTCATCCCCGGTTTTTCTGTGCACATATTTTCATACATGCCTAATGTGTGCTTTGTGTAATGTAGGAGCATCATCCTTTTGGGAAGAAAGCCAACCAAAGTAGACCTTAAATTGAAACATGCTGGCACATTAATATTAAATAATGCATTAAATGACTAAAGAACTGTGCCAGGTGCATGGTCCTGGCTCCAGCTTGCCATTAAAGTGTACATATCTGTACTTGCCACCAACAGTGACGTATAGACACAAATAAGTGAATGAATGCTCTTTACTGACTCCTTTGGCGAATTTTTCCTGGAGCAAAGGCCTTAGTTATGTCCCAGATTGCTTTGTTTGCCTTATCCAGGCGGACTCTTTGTGCCAACCCTCCTTTCTGAAATGGCTCGAGCCACCATAGGCAAATTCCTTCCCACCCTCAAAATCATTTTCTTGCCTTTTTAAGCCGATTTGACTCTTTTTGTGATTTAGATTTCAGTGGTCTATCTAAAGGCCACCTGGGAGGTAAAGGCTTTAATTGTCAAATTTCTTCCATTGCTTGGTCCCCTTCATTCAGTGCCTATAGGGGATCAAGATCATCCTGTGCAATAGAACCATCCATTCTAATTACTTGCATTTTTTGTTTTCTTAAACACTTCATGATAAGTAGCAGAATTTAGAAGGCACTTCTTCTCTTGGGCAGTATTCCAGGTATTTCTTTTTCATTTTTGTCCAATGAATATGTGCCTTGTTCACCTACTTTAGCCATCTCAGTGCATCCATGTGGGCTTCTGTTTGGTCACAAAATGCATTATTCTATAACCACTACATAAATTATTTGGAGGTCATTTCTGTTTTGTTTTTTTCCTTTCTGGCATGAAAGAATAATCATCTCAGCCTGCTGTGGATTTTTTTGGGGGATTTGCTAAAGCGTCTTTTGTTAGAATAATGGCCCTTTTTTTTTTTAATGTATATAATGTGACTGTTTTACAGCTGTCGGCTGAATGGTAGTTTTTAGGCCATAAGCACATAATTTAGTAATAGTCACATATTTTTTTTAAGTTGAATTGTAGCATGAATTCTAATCATTTCTCAGGATGTCCGAAAAATGTTTTACAGTAATCAGAAGATAGGTACATAATCAACAGGGACAGCAAATTTCAATGATTTGTATCGACTGCTCAGCTCTGCTGTAATAAACGGGGTCTGTTGCATAAAAATGGCCCCGTTTTTGAGGCACTTGGGTATTCACTGAATTTTATGGTTGATGTTATCAATATCTGGAATCTTTTGTGTAAAGTGAGACCTGAAATACAGAATTTGTACAGAGCATAGAGTAAATTATTGCTGCTGCTTGAAAATAAATTATATTGACTATGTAGAGTCACTGTAAAGCGTGCTGCTACATGAATGATGTAGAGAGTGTGGGAAATTTACTGGTTGTTTCCAAAAATGTTTAACATGTATCTATACCCAAGACTTCTTTTTTTTTTTTTTTTTTTTTTTTTTTTTTAGAACCCATCAGGTTTTACTGCTATGAGAAACTTTGTTGGAGAGATTTCCCCTCACTTTCTATTCTCGGGCAACCTTTTTACCATACAAGAGGTGAGGGGAAATCTGCACCAGGAAGACCGACAACTGTTAAAAAGCTGTCAGGGGTGCTGTAAGTTCCCCTTAGTGACTTAGAAGTAAAAATGCTTTTTGTCTGTGTTGCTGTTAGAGAATTTTTCTTGTCCTGGGAACAACCTTTTTTCCAGGCAGGAAATAAACCGATCTCTCCAAAGCAGCTGCTGACTACAGTAAAACCTAAGAGGGCTTTCCATCCTTTCCTACTCTGTCCAAAATAACTAAAAAAAAAAAGTTTTGGCTATAGATGCACTTCAAGTAGAAATGCTAAGCCCCATATAATAGGATTCCAGACCTGTTCTATGAAAGGGAACATGCTAGACATAAACGTATAACCATGCAGAATGTACATGGAGCCATTTTGAAACTGGACCATTGATGATCATGTGTTTTATTCACTAGGATCACAGTCTCCTTGATCTAATGAATACCTAGTGTATGTATAGAATGGCCCTGTATTATTCTAGAAGGCAAGAGTTATACTGGTGATGAAATCTCTCTGGTGCTGAGAGATTTAACTACCCATTGGCAGTATCCATATTTGCAACACATTAAAAGCAATATAAGATAGAAGGCAGCGGGTAGTGAAATCTCTCAGATGCAAAATTGCCAGTGTAGCTTAGGTTTTTACATCACCTTTTAAACTTTTTTTATTTTTGTATTTAGTATAATACTAAAGGGCTTACCCGCTCAAATTCTTAATCCAGAAGCCTACCTTTTAAAATGGGCAACCTACTGTTGCAACTTGGTACTACAGGCTAACCATTGAGAGATTAAAGGAAATGTCATCCGAAAGATCAATGGCCTTGCACTGCTGGCCTGCTTTTGAAATGCTAGTTCCTGTTGTTAACATGCTTCCTTTTGGCGTAAGTTCTTTCGGAGTCGCAAATGCTGATTAGGCCAGAAGAGACGCATGACGCACAGGGAATTAGTATTTTCAGACTTACAGCTATGACGGACCATGCTTTCTCTCAGGACAGGTTTTATTTAATGATGCCTAGATGGCTGAAAGGCTAAAATTGGGGGAAAAAATCGTTTTTATTTTTGCACTGTGATATTCACTGTAAAAATGTCTTCTTTACTAAATACCAATAAAAATCATGTTTAGTGATTTAAGATGAGTTCTTTACAGATGTGTTCCTTCAGGTATAGGTTTTCCATATTTAATCATAAAATGCAGTGAAGTTCTATTGGATTGACTTTTAAAGCAATCCTTATAGAGCTGGGGAAAGATATGATGTGTTGAAGTCAGATTCAAAATGTTGTTGCCACACTGGCTGTACGGTGTTGGCTTTAGAAGAGATGAATTTGGTACTTCTCTTACCATCCAGGTTTTCATTGTATTGGAAAGAACTGTAAAAGAACCACTTAGACACTTTACCTCCTCAGTATGCAATTGTAAATACAATGTATGATAGAAAATCTTTTGTTAATATAAAAAGCTGTCCAATTTCTGCTGTACATTAAAAATTTGTTTTATTCATGTTATCCGCATTTTCATTTTCTTTAAAGACCTTGTTTAAAATAGATGAGATGTTTAAAGCTGAACTCCAGGATTCTCTTTTTTTTTTTAAACTTCCATTGCTCAAGCTTGGTTATATCTGATTCTTCTTATTTCAAATTAGGAGGGCCACTGGGGATGCAAGTCTCTTCTGCATGCTGCTTGAGTGACATGTCTGCATACTGAACACTGGGAGTCACTCGCTCAGCACCCCTGCCATTCAGAGAAAGTCTTCTATTTCTTTTCTCAGTGAATGGGCTGTCTCTGATTGGACGAGGCATAGAGAGGGTGTGGATGACATGACAGTTTAGACTAACCGAACCTTATTTATGATGCGGAAGACCTTGGTGTGCGAGGCCCAAACTGCCAGGCAGTTCCACAAAATATGCGGATGAGACTATTCAATCGAAAATGAGAATCGTTGTCAACGATTCTCATTATCGATCAGTTGGTTTGGGTCCCCTAGTTCTCAACTCCGCGCTGGAAGCTGGTGTTTCATTGGCTCTGTGTCCCCTTCTGCAGGGATTGGACGGGACACAGACCCCTTGCAGCCGGTGCCCAGTGGTGAGGAGAGCTCCCCCCAAACTTCCTCTGCCCAA